GTTCATGATAATTGCGTTTCATGGTTTGATATTGTTTGATACTGGAGATCGTTTACGGCAGCGGGTTTACCACATTAGCACTTAAATCTGGGTGATTAAATCTGCCATCTGGGTGATTATTCAGAACCGAGCATTGTTCAGAACTCCTGTTGGTTGATTCTTATATGGGGTTATACTATGGGAAATCCTGTCAGCCAGCCAAAAAAAAGGGACGACAGAGGGTTTTTAAATGTGTTGGATCACTGCTCATATGACTAATTATTATCGTTACAATCACCCCCAGTACTTTACTGCCATTGTTGATTTATGTTGCATCCTTCATTTTTCCTTGACATGATATGCCCCTTCATAATCTATATTACCCTCCAGTAAATTAGCATAGACCCTGAAAATAGCCTAGTTTTAATGGAAACTAATCTTCCAACCCCTATCTGCCAGGGTCTATGTTAATTTACCAGAGGGTAATCTATGGTAATCATTTTATTAACCATTATTAATCACTATTAACCACTATCAACATCTATTAACCACTATTAACCATTATTCACCATTATTAATCTATATTCATCATATTTCCTGTGCTACCTGAGGACCTCATGGCCTGGCTGAAGCGGCCCCGTGTGGGTCTCAGCGCTGACGCCCTGCATACCTTGGAGTCCATCCGCGTGGACGGCCAGATGCCACGTGGCAGATCACGTGGCAAAGGCCGCCAGGTTTCTGCGGAAAGTGGTGGTTTTTGTTAACCGATTTTAACCTTCAAAAAAATGTGAAACATCAGGAATTACCCTCTGGTTATTTAACATAGCCAAGGTATGGATGGCCCATTTCTAGATGGTGTACCTATTACAAATGGTCATTTTCCATGGCTATGTTAGATAACCAGATGGTATATGATTTAATGATGTTATTGAAAAACAAAATTGGGGGGTTCACCTTGCGGGATCCCTCATTTTCTTTTCCAGGGTATCAATTTGTCCTTGAATAAGTTCCTCCAGGGGTTCCTGGGGGATGATAAGCTGGAGAATCAAAATGCTGAGAGGGGAAAACGATGATGTAAATTATGTCACACGAACATGTATATTATGGATATAATATACGGAAACATAAGAGGAAATCATTTTCTGGGGAACCGTATATTATGCAAAATTCACAGGAAATATACGGTTCCCGGTTCCCCAGAAACACGGCACACAACCAATGAAAACCAAACACTTGCCCTTTCCCACCCATTCGCACTCGGACCATTGAGAGTTCTTGGGAAGGAAATGAAGGGAGTATGGAACACAAAGGGGGAATATATGAACAATTGGAAAATATGCAGAAAAAAACAGTGATGATGAACATGATGGTTGAACACCATGCTGCTGGCTTTCCCAAGGGAGAAGTTGTTCTATAGCTGTATTTTCGATCATTGGAAATTTATACTAAATTATTCGAACACCCAATTATTCCGGCTATGTTGAGGGGCTGGATAGCGATTTTAAAACTCTAACATGCACAATCGTAGACCCACCCCTTGAGGAAATGATTCAAGGAAAAATATTCCCCAAAAGAAATTTCCCATAACCTAGTTGATAGATGTTGATAGCCCGGAATAATTTTAAAAGGGATCCCGCATGGTTCACCATTCAAAGATGTTGACAAAGTGGGATGTAGCTTTCCCCATGGGGATCGACAAACCTTGGTCGGATTCGGTTACATCATGTGACATCCATGAACTTCATTGAAATCAACAACGAATAGGAATGCACTGGCTGCACTGGAAGTTCTGCCAAGAGATTAATTTCTAGGATATTTCTAGGAAAATCCTGAATAGAAATGTGCTTGCCATGAATTGCCATGACTGCCTCACTGTAACCAGGGCAATCTGAGTGGTTACTCATATATTTCAGGGTTTAACAATTCCTGGTAGATAGGTCCACATGAGGCACAGTGCAGCGCAGACAACCGTGGACAACGAAGAAATACACGTGTATCATTGCTAGCGTAATCACAATTATTATTTTGGAAACTGGATTGGACCCACCCACAAAGCCACAGACAATACATCCACATTTGATGTGCCTGAGAGGAAATCCTGTATTTAGCGGTCTCCCATTTTCAGAAGCACCGGTGTGGCCCTCTGAAAATTTCTCAAAACTTTGGAAACAAAATTAAGAAACACTGCAGCCAACAGATATGGTGGTGTTTTCCAGTTCCAAAAGCGATGTTTCTGTGGCCGCTCTGCTCAGCTAAAGAAAATCACCCTGAGGTTCTTGTCGGCACAGACTTCGGATTGGGAAGATGAGGAAGTGGACCTGGCGGAGGCTGCGCAATACATGGGGGTACCCCCCAAATCATCCATCCATAAATGGGATTGTCCATGAAATCAACCATCTGGGAGTACCCCCATTTATGGAAACACCCATATATCAACTGTCTTGACCTAGTCTAGTTCCCTAGAGTTACCCATATATCATCCATGTATCTGGGTAAATTATAACGACCTCTCTGCAACCTCACTGGAAATCATGGTTAGTAAGGGGAATCATCCCCTTCTATGGCCGAACTATTCAGGTTAGTGAAATATTATAATTTGCCCAGATGTATCAATATGTATCTCCAGGTTTGGAGCTTGTCCGGCACAGCCTGTGCGGTATCATCCAGGCCGACGTTGCGATCCTGGTGCGGCTCCAAGCGGCGTTCAAAGCGCACGTCGTTGAGGCGTAAAATTTTTGCGTCCCAATGGTGTCATTTCCGCGTGGCTGGGGGGGGTTCAACATCAGCATTCGAGGCTTATTTTGGGCTGAAAAAAATGACCTTTTGCTAAATGGCTATGGATCAATACCTATGAAAATACCATTTTTAGGGGGATGAACACCCATAAATCCCAGCTATTTTGATGTGAACAGAAGGGGTACAAGGTTTTGACACACTGCCAAATCATGACTTTTTTGGTGGGTTTTGGTGATTGCATCTGATTGCTGTGGTTACAATGGTTACAACCTCAAAAAAGGACACGTGGTAGAGAGGAATACAAGGAAGCCTGCGGATGGTGATTGCTAGGTGGCTGGTTCGATTTGCGCAGCAGGTCTCATCTGGCTGTGACAACTGACACACTATGTGATCACTATGTGCATTCCTCGTGGCCATCCACGCGTCGCAGAACAATGTTCAGCACATCTGGTCAGATACCACACATAACTTCAGCGAGGATGTCTCAGTGTCGAACTTCTCCCAACTATACTCTTAATCTGCGCTTCGATGGCTTGTCGGATCTCCATGGATCTCCCAAGTTTTGTCAGAAACCACTGGCACAGCTTCTGTAGAGGCTGCTTGGAGGGATCAACACTCACATACACTCACTAACTATTTTGATTAATTATCGCTTCAAAGTATTTCAAAGCCATGTCCTCGAAACGCCGCGCTGAATGCGAGGCTCGCGGATCAAGGTTGATGGGTGTGGTTGGCTCAATAATTAGCCACATAGAGCTGTTTGCATGCCTCAATCGGGTAAACCAAATATAACCAGATAATGAAAGATCAAATTAGAATCAAATTAGGGATGGTTTAGACCAGTAGACCACCCATTCCTGGTAAAACTAGGATTTTTTGTCCTCGAAAGTTGCGTTGACCACATGACGTTTATATATATATATATATTTAAAATTATATATATATATTATAATTATATATATATGATATAATTATATATATATATATATTATGAATCTTGGACCGCCTAATGCTGTACTATATCTAAACAGTCGTATGATGGCTCCAAGCCACAAGAAGGGCCCCTGCAACGTTGGGTTTCATGGTGGACCTCCCAGATGTTCCTCCTGGGCGTGTTTTTTCCAACGGGAAATCCACCAGAAATGGGGGAAATTATAGGGAAAATGTGTGATCTTTTGGAGCCCCTTGGAACAAATCCAAGTGTTGGTAGACAACATTGGCGATCCATAGCAATGCTTGATGAGAGGCCCCGATTTTTTTCCCCGCCTGTGAGTTCCCTGAGGCTGCCAGGTGGGGCCACCACCTTTGATCAAGAATTCAGCGGCAAATTGGCAATATATATATACACAATAATCATATATATATATATAATAATATATATGTATAATAACATATATATATATAATAACATATATTATAGATATAGATATATCATGTTTTATGATGTTACATATGATACTCTATGATATATATATATATATATATGTAGTAACCCCCAAAAAATGAAAATTTGGAAAGGGTTCAAAATGTCTCACTATTTTCGGCCTTGAATTTATCATATCATACCATGTCATATCATATATCTACCATATATCATATATCATATATCATACCATATGTCATATCATATTTCATATCATATCTCTCATTGTATCATCTCATACATATGCGCATGGTAAGCCCCACAAAGATTGATTTTATGAAATATGACATGACATGGTATGATATGATATGATTGTGATGTGGTACGTAACATTATAATCCCATTTTCCTTTTGGGTGAATTCCCAAGTCCGACCCACACCCCTCTTCGCTTTTTCGTCAGGACCTGCCATCCACAAGGCCAGGGCGGCCAGGTAGGGATTGACCCTGGAGATATCACGATTGATACATTAGCAACCATAAATAGCAACTACAGTAAACATGATGAAGGGATTCCATAAGTTATTGTTTTTCATGGTTCTTAAATGTTATTATGGAATTCGACCAGCAATCGATTTATTCGCTCAGCTAACAGTTTCACCTCTCAACAAGCCGAACTCATTTCACATGTGTCATTTCCACATGTTGTCGAACATGGCATCATTTTCAGCCTTTGAATTGCAATCTACATACCCTCTGGTGAACTAACATAGCAATGGAAAATCACCATTTTTCATGGGGAAAATCCACTATAAATGGCCATTTTCCATTGCTGATGGACTATTTCTATGGCCATTTTCCATTGCTATGTTAGTTCACCAGAGGGTAATCTACATATTTCTGATGGCTCCAGAACCGTGCCGTTCAGCGGTCTGCCGAAGCTGTTTAGACACGAGACATCTTGGCCGTCAAAAATCGCCATCGCGTCTCGTGGCTTGGAGAAAATTAATCCGTCGTTCATAGGGATATCCATGTGGGTATACCCCATGAACATGGATGAAAATGGTGGGTGAACCAACAAATATAGGATGTTTGCGGAAACCGTTGGACCAGGGGTTCGGCAGTTTGTGGAAGCAACTTGAAGCATACCTGAATAATCTTCCAAACGATCGAGCTTGTTGTTTGCTCTGTGGGACAAAATTCTTCCCTGTTTCAGTGGATCCTTGACCTTCTGTCATGTCAGAAGCTGAGGTGATGCGTTCACTCCTTCGCTCAGAGCCGGAGCGCGACCTAGAAGATCGAGGATTATTGGAGGAGGAGCAGAGCAAGTCTTCAGGACGCAAGATCTACTTGGTACTTGGGGCCTTTACCCTTGTGGCTTTCTGTGGCCTTGCCGCTGCGGTCTTTGCCCCCAAGAACTCAGTGGTGATCAATGGAAAGGCTGCCATTTCCTTGGCGCAAAAACAGAAATCAACGAAGAGCATCTCGGAGCAAATCAAAGATCCCCACTGCGAGGATTTTCCCTCGCTGGATATCCTTGAGGTTACTCACAACAACCTTGCCAACATGGGTCCGGGCAGTGGGAGGGAGGGGATTGAGTACCATGCCAAAACCTGGGACGGCAAGGAGATTTACATGGATCTTCATGCAAAAGCAGCTTTCAAGTCTGATGACCCCAAAGACTTCGGAATGCATGGTGCCTACGGCACGATCAACGTTGCTGGCAACTCAGAGGCATGTATTGAGGTCAGCTTCAGGGACTTCAAGACCAAGAAGCCCGCTTTGTTGGATGACTTTTCCCTGAGCTTCTTCGACATTGACCATGGCAAAGGAACGAATGGTTTGGAGGCTTTGACCATCGAGGGTGACTGGTCAATGGCTGTGGTTGCCAAAGACACCACAGTCCTTGTGCATCACACAGAAGGAAATGAGCGCAGGATCACCTTCCAGGCTACAAATAGATCACAAGTCTTGGATGACCCCTCGGACCCCAAAGTGTTGACCATGAACCAGTACAACAAAGCCATCACCGTTCGCTTCCAACATGCAAACAAGTTCTTTCTTGGTATGCACGTAAAGACAGCTGCTAGGTTTGCCCGTGTCTTCGAGTTCATTGGTGTTGCTTCAATCCTTTGTGCCAAGAGCCCCACTGGTGGTACGCTGCCTGTTGGGCAAGTGTACGTGAATGAGAATCAAATGAAGAAAGTGGGCGGCATGGTCGAGGAGGAGACGAATTGGTGGTGGGTGCTGGCAGCCCTGATTTTGGGCGCACTATTGGCAGCTCTCATTTTCTTGTTCCTGCCCAAGAAGGATCCAGAGTATCGTGAAATCGTTCGTGAAACGGTGGCAGCTCCACCGCCTCCGCCGCCGAAGCAAGGACCTGGAATCTATGCTGCAGCCTTTGCAGCTGGGCCAGGGACAAAGCTTGGCTTGCACCTTGATGCTCCACATGGCATCAACCAGCCTCCAATGATCAAGAAGATTTTGGAGGGTGCCGTGCAGCGCTTCAACACTTTGGGCAAGCCCAATGCCATTGAGCCCTATGACATGATCATCAAAGTCGGAGATGTGTCTGATCCATCGCAGATCATGGTGGAACTCAAAAATGGATTGCCAGAGGATGCAAAGCTGACGTTGGATCGGCCTGAAAAGATCGAGGCCATGATTGAAGGTGATCTGGGCGTGAAGCTGGATGCAATGGAAGATTCATATGGCGCAGTGATCATGGAGATTGAACCCTCAGGATCCATTGCAAAATGGAACAAGGAGAATCCTACCAAGAAGATGAACAAAGGTGATAGGATTGTCTCAGTGAACGGCAACACCTTTGACCCCAAACGAGGTTGGACAGTTCGCGCTGACAAGTCCGAAAAATCTGGAGGAGGAACCCCAAAGAAGAGTGCCTCCTTTGGTTCTCGCATGAATTCCAGATTCTTGGAGGAAATCGCAGAGTTCAAGGGCAAGGAGATTGAAGTGACCATGCTCAAGTACATCACCTTTGAGAAGTGAGAGCTAGATCTGAGCCAAGCTCCAGATGTGAGGCGTGAACAATGTTTATTTCTTCCTCACCTTCTGCAACTGTGCGACTTGCGACACTTCTTTGGTGGCAAAGACTAGCTTTATTAATTATGTTTTAATTACAAGCATTCCCAGTCAATATTTCCAGTCAACTGTATGGAACATACACACATAATCACATATATATATACATTATATATATACTACATATTATATATATATACATATATATATATACATGATCATGTATGCATATTACATCATATTACCTATTTGCGGAGGGTCAATTCCAGTACGTTTTTGCCTCATCAATTTGTGGATTGTCCTTCGTCACTTCACTGCATCAACGACCCATTCTGGAATGATGGTGGACTTTTCGTCTATTTTCCTGTTCTTGGGTAGATCGGATTTCCTTCCTTCCTTTATCCAAGAGTTGCTGGTCATGGTAGTATTTTTGTATAGCAAACCCCATGATGGTGTCACAAGTACCATGGACCTTTGCCACCAGAGAGGTCTTTGAAAACGACGAATCTTGCCAAGGGATTGGCATGGCAACCAAAAGTGAGAATTGGAGATGGCTAATTTCCTCTTTTCCTCTAACAGGTATAATTTATCAATGTTTCTCATAGGTTCGATTTGACCAGTTGACATTCACAGCCATGCGTTTTTTCCTCTGTGTCCATGTCTGCCTGAGACTATGTGAATTTATGTGAAGCATCATCAGATCAGCCAGTTGTGCACAGGTAAAAGTTTTTTGGGTAGTGGACAGGTAGACATGGTGACATCATGGGCAAAGCACCAACAGTCGAGTGAATTTAGCAGCCGGTGATGTGACTTGGCATCATCTGTTTGGATGTGACTTGGTCCTGGTGCTGTGCAGCGCATTAGCCATTGCAAGGATTGCATCACCTTGGACTGATGAGTTTCTCTGAATGATGTTTGAATGATATTTTTCCATGGGGTTCCACAGCACCGGTGCACCAACCTTGCTGAAGCAGTTCATGAAATCTGCCATTGACAATTGATTGGTTGTTGACTTGTGAAATCATCCAAAAGCAAGAAAAAATAGACACCAGCGGCAGCGCCCGAGGGCAAAGCACTCGACGTTGTTTTCTTGTGGATGTGCGGCTGGAAACCTGTGGGCTATGGCCCAAAAATAGGATTCAATAAATCCGCAAATTTGGATAAGACAATGAAAACAAAATATTATAAAAGGGAATCTTCAAAATTGCACTCCGCATTTCTCCGCTATGCCCCCAATTATAAATATCGATGTTTCCGCCAGGATACTGAGGATGACTACAAACTCTTACGACTAAGATAAAAAATTAAAAATCTAAAATAATATATAAATCCCTATTAGAATTTCTTATAATTTGGGAGGGGTCGACCGTCTTATAAATGGTATTAAATGATTTATATAGGGCTATATAGGGACATTTTGTATTTACAAGAAACTTCTTAACTAGAACATTTTATAATAAAACAACTAAAAAACTAAAAGGCTAAATTATATATTTCGAAATAATTATTATATGAAAATTTTAAGGGATTAATTTATTTTATAAATATATTAATTATTTAATTATTTTAGAAAAATAAAAATAATATATTAAATATAAATATATATATATTTATAAATAAATATTGTTAAAAATTAAACAATATACATAATTTAAAATAAATATTTGGTGGATGGATTAAATCGTAAGGTTTCCGAGGAAATTATTACAGGTAATCGACAAAGCCGTTTCTTTTTTTAAGAAATCTCTAGATTTAGGTGTGTCGAAGTTTTCCTTGGAAGTCGTATGAAGTTGTATTTTTTTGGAAAAGGCAAGCAAATTTTGGTGATTATAGTGCAACTATGTTTTTAGCTTGGGTTTAGGTATTTAGTTATGCTTTGGGTATATGTAGTTTTTGTTGCGTTTAGTTGGGGATTTTTTTTTGTTGCAGCTGCTTTTTTATTAATGACTTCTGTACGTTTAACTATATTTAGCAACTATTGTTAAATTGCTGCTTAATTGTCATACAGGTTCTTAACTCCGACTAAGGAGTCTTAACTCCGACCACTTTGTCTTAACCACGCTTAGGGGTCTTTAACCCCGACTATGGGGTTCTTGTTCCAGTCTAGATGGCATGTTCCTTGGAAGATTGTATGTTTCCTTTCTTTTGCAGCCATCTTTGGCTGGTGTTCGGCAAGTTGCACTCCATGGACAAGGCCCGGGCAACTCATGTTCTGTGTGTCCTGTTACTAACGCCTGAGACATCTAGGGTTGTGGTAGGCTTCAGCGTCGAATGAAAAGGACTCAGAAATCCAGGGTTTGCAGCCTAAATCCTCCAAAAAGCGAGTTCTTTTGTGATAGGCTTCGCGTCCCGCATCCTTCTCCTTGTTCTTGCCTATGACTCACTACGCGGAAGTTCGCTTTGGTCTCTTCACTTCTTCACTTGCCCTTGTCCACGAACTTGATGCTACATACGCCTTACCTCTACGCCTGACTTCTCTCTTGTCTTTGGTGAGGTCGTCCTCGGGTTCTGTCTCCCGCTTACTCAAACAGTCGGATTCCCGGAAACATCCTGTGTCGAATGAAAAGGACTCAGAAATCCAGGGTTTGCAGCCTAAATCCTCCAAAAAGCGAGTTCTTTTGTGATAGGCTTCGCGTCCCGCATCCTTCTCCTTGTTCTTGCCTATGACTCACTACGCGGAAGTTCGCTTTGGTCTCTTCACTTCTTCACTTGCCCTTGTCCACGAACTTGATGCTACATACGCCTTACCTCTACGCCTGACTTCTCTCTTGTCTTTGGTGAGGTCGTCCTCGGGTTCTGTCTCCCGCTTACTCAAACAGTCGGATTCCCGGAAACATCCTGTGTCGAATGAAAAGGACTCAGAAATCCAGGGTTTGCAGCCTAAATCCTCCAAAAAGCGAGTTCTTTTGTGATAGGCTTCGCGTCCCGCATCCTTCTCCTTGTTCTTGCCTATGACTCACTACGCGGAAGTTCGCTTTGGTCTCTTCACTTCTTCACTTGCCCTTGTCCACGAACTTGATGCTACATACGCCTTACCTCTACGCCTGACTTCTCTCTTGTCTTTGGTGAGGTCGTCCTCGGGTTCTGTCTCCCGCTTACTCAAACAGTCGGATTCCCGGAAACATCCTGTGTCGAATGAAAAGGACTCAGAAATCCAGGGTTTGCAGCCTAAATCCTCCAAAAAGCGAGTTCTTTTGTGATAGGCTTCGCGTCCCGCATCCTTCTCCTTGTTCTTGCCTATGACTCACTACGCGGAAGTTCGCTTTGGTCTCTTCACTTCTTCACTTGCCCTTGTCCACGAACTTGATGCTACATACGCCTTACCTCTACGCCTGACTTCTCTCTTGTCTTTGGTGAGGTCGTCCTCGGGTTCTGTCTCCCGCTTACTCAAACAGTCGGATTCCCGGAAACATCCTGTGTCGAATGAAAAGGACTCAGAAATCCAGGGTTTGCAGCCTAAATCCTCCAAAAAGCGAGTTCTTTTGTGATAGGCTTCGCGTCCCGCATCCTTCTCCTTGTTCTTGCCTATGACTCACTACGCGGAAGTTCGCTTTGGTCTCTTCACTTCTTCACTTGCCCTTGTCCACGAACTTGATGCTACATACGCCTTACCTCTACGCCTGACTTCTCTCTTGTCTTTGGTGAGGTCGTCCTCGGGTTCTGTCTCCCGCTTACTCAAACAGTCGGATTCCCGGAAACATCCTGTGTCGAATGAAAAGGACTCAGAAATCCAGGGTTTGCAGCCTAAATCCTCCAAAAAGCGAGTTCTTTTGTGATAGGCTTCGCGTCCCGCATCCTTCTCCTTGTTCTTGCCTATGACTCACTACGCGGAAGTTCGCTTTGGTCTCTTCACTTCTTCACTTGCCCTTGTCCACGAACTTGATGCTACATACGCCTTACCTCTACGCCTGACTTCTCTCTTGTCTTTGGTGAGGTCGTCCTCGGGTTCTGTCTCCCGCTTACTCAAACAGTCGGATTCCCGGAAACATCCTGTGTCGAATGAAAAGGACTCAGAAATCCAGGGTTTGCAGCCTAAATCCTCCAAAAAGCGAGTTCTTTTGTGATAGGCTTCGCGTCCCGCATCCTTCTCCTTGTTCTTGCCTATGACTCACTACGCGGAAGTTCGCTTTGGTCTCTTCACTTCTTCACTTGCCCTTGTCCACGAACTTGATGCTACATACGCCTTACCTCTACGCCTGACTTCTCTCTTGTCTTTGGTGAGGTCGTCCTCGGGTTCTGTCTCCCGCTTACTCAAACAGTCGGATTCCCGGAAACATCCTGTGTCGAATGAAAAGGACTCAGAAATCCAGGGTTTGCAGCCTAAATCCTCCAAAAAGCGAGTTCTTTTGTGATAGGCTTCGCGTCCCGCATCCTTCTCCTTGTTCTTGCCTATGACTCACTACGCGGAAGTTCGCTTTGGTCTCTTCACTTCTTCACTTGCCCTTGTCCACGAACTTGATGCTACATACGCCTTACCTCTACGCCTGACTTCTCTCTTGTCTTTGGTGAGGTCGTCCTCGGGTTCTGTCTCCCGCTTACTCAAACAGTCGGATTCCCGGAAACATCCTGTGTCGAATGAAAAGGACTCAGAAATCCAGGGTTTGCAGCCTAAATCCTCCAAAAAGCGAGTTCTTTTGTGATAGGCTTCGCGTCCCGCATCCTTCTCCTTGTTCTTGCCTATGACTCACTACGCGGAAGTTCGCTTTGGTCTCTTCACTTGCCCTTGTCCACGAACTTGATGCTACATACGCCTTACCTCTACGCCTGACTTCTCTCTTGTCTTTGGTGAGGTCGTCCTCGGGTTCTGTCTCCCGCTTACTCAAACAGTCGGATTCCCGGAAACATCCTGTGTCGAATGAAAAGGACTCAGAAATCCAGGGTTTGCAGCCTAAATCCTCCAAAAAGCGAGTTCTTTTGTGATAGGCTTCGCGTCCCGCATCCTTCTCCTTGTTCTTGCCTATGACTCACTACGCGGAAGTTGGGAAGTTCGCTTTGGTCTCTTCACTTCTTCACTTGCCCTTGTCCACGAACTTGATGCTACATACGCCTTACCTCTACGCCTGACTTCTCTCTTGTCTTTGGTGAGGTCGTCCTCGGGTTCTGTCTCCCGCTTACTCAAACAGTCGGATTCCCGGAAACATCCTGTGTCGAATGAAAAGGACTCAGAAATCCAGGGTTTGCAGCCTAAATCCTCCAAAAAGCGAGTTCTTTTGCAGCCTTGTTCATTTCTCATCTATCCAGATGTCTTCGCACCCGCCGCTTTAGCAAACCTGCTTTTCGACCCTCCCGAGCCACAAATCATTGGAAAAAACACACAGTGCTTGGCGACTTTCCTACCTTTTCGCGCACCTGCATCTTCTCTCTTCTGACTTTCTCCATCTCTTATCTTCTCACTTCTGACTGTCTCCCTGTCGGAGCTTCTTCCTGGCTGTGCTTTTCCATCTGTCAATATGGTCGGAAGCTTCGCTTCTAAACTTCCTTCGATGATACGAACTGTTTTCGGAGCGAAAGCAGATTTGGAAATGGCTGCAGAGGTTTTTGTTGTGTATTTTTCGAGTCCTGATAAGCGGAACATCTGATATCAGCACATGTGAGACACGGGTGCTCCGTGAAACCTTTGTGGGATGCATTTTGCAGTTTCATTCTCAGAAAATGCGGTGTAAGTAGAAAGACGTTGCAGGACAATTGCTGACTTGCCGTTGATCAAGCCAACTTTTGAGGGTCGCACCAAAATTTGACTGCGGTTTGTTCATTGAGCGGTTTTTTGTGGCTTAAGGGGACATGCCACCCAGACGAAAACACGAATGGGTAGAAGTCACATCGGTGGATGTGGATCTGCCGGGGCCAGAGGAGATACCCCGCCAGTACTTGCGGAGTTGTTCTCAGACTTATGCTGACAAGCACAAGTTGACACTTGCGCATTGGTCCCAGCCAAAGAGAACAGGAACCGGTTGGCGCACCACTTGCCATTGCAATGAACATGTGAACTGTGCACGTTGGTATCGATTCACCGGAGAGGTTGGAGAGAGGGCATACACACTTCGTGTCTCCAGCTCTGGAGAGTGTGGTGGCGAGCTGAAGAAGGCCCGCAAGGCTCCAGGAAGGGGCGATGCAGCTTCGGTCCAGGAGATTCGAGCAGCCAAAGTTGCCATAGACAAGCTTCAGCAAGCCCGTGGCCATTTTCCATCTCCCAACGATGTCCGGCGTGAGCTTGGCGAGACATGGGCTGCTTCTCGGCAAAAATTGAAAGGAGTAGTCACCAGAGTGCGACACAAGAAAGGCTTTGCATCCAAGGCGCGCAACAAGAAGAGGCTCTCGGTGGGATGTTTCCAGGAGTTTGTGGATGCACGACGGAGCTTCGAGCAATCCATGTGCTTCATGTCCGTCAGTCTCAATGCAACTGTTCTCAGCTATGTGGTGTTCTTCTCAGCTTTCTTGTCAGTGCTGGAAGAGTGGAAGCCGACCAAATTGATCATGCAAGCTGATTGCACCTTCAAAGTGGATTGGGAAGGCTACGTATGGGGTTTGTTGGACTTGTCACTTTTCGACGCCTACGGGAACGCTGGCGAAAGACATTTATGCCCGTGCTCATGCTTGCCCACCCAAGAGAGGACAGGGACTTGCAACTTGTTTGATCGTGCAGTGGTAGGAAAAAAGATGGCATGGAGACATGCGATGATCTATTTATCTTCTACTCCAGAGATAAGCACCGTCAAATTTGAAATTTGTTGGAGATTAGGTTTCTCAATTCCCTGAGAAAAACACAAAGTCTGCACACAACTGTTCTGGGTTTGGCATCCTTGGAGGATAAACAGATATGGACAAAGGCTTTTCAAGACTTGGCGCAAGAGCTACGTCGTCGGCATTTGCCTCCAGTCAGCAAGCTCTGTTGTGATTGGAGAAAGGAAATACCCGGTGCTTTCTTCGATTCGTTTGAAGATGGTCTGGTAGTGCAAGGGATGGAGCACTTGGTGCGTGCATTGCGCCGCAACAGAAGCAAGCTCGGCGGCACCCGCAAAATCGAGTATGTCATTGCCTGCTTCTACACTTTTGCTTACCTCCCAATGCATCTTTTCTTTTCCACTGCCATGGACATATATCTCAGCAGAGTCAGGCATGTTTGGAAATCAGCTCACTTTGTCGACTATGTTGAACAGCAGTTTTTGACGCGTGTTGATGATGTGATTTGGGCTTCGTGGCACTGCGGCGCCTTCAGAGAGGATTTTGATCGTGGTGCTCCTCCAAGCCAGCAGCCAATCGAGTCATGGAACAGAAAGTTCAAAGATGACTGTCTAGGCCGTTTGCAGAAAGGCAAGGATGATCATGTGACTGTCCTGTCGCAAGTGGAATCTTGTTTGCCGTTGTGGTCTCAGAAACCTCAGCAAGATGAGGAGGAACCGTATAGCTTGCTTGCGAAAGAAGGCTGCCACACATGTTCCGGCCCTGACCGGCCGGATGCTTGGATGTTAGAGACTTCGGGGACAGTGATCAAACCTCCTGGTGGGAATGCTATGTTTGTAGCATCCATCGCTTCGATTCTGAAGCATCATGCTGAGGATGCAGAGACGATCTTTGCCAAGAAGTTGCGCGACCGCACCATCTATGTGCTTCGTATCGGCGCTCCGCAGAAGAGATTTGGTGAAATACTTGCAAGTTTTTTTTGACTGGCTGTCCACAGTGCCGCTTTTTCAAAATATGTTTTGGAAACAAGTGTTGACAGCAGGTTTTTTTTTGGTCTTAGTCAAACCGTTGTGACTTTGCCAAGCTTCTTTCTGCACAGGATTGCTTGTGGAGAGGACATGGTGAGACAGATACAAGTGGAGTCGCAGGAGGACTTGCTGCAACGCTGGCAGACGTGGCATTTTGATTCAGCCTACAGGTGGGTGCGAGCGCGCTCCACTGAAGGTATCCATGGAGACTTTGCGCGCACATTGGCAAGAGCATTGCGTGGTGATTGCGATTGACCGTGGCGCTGGCAGACCCAAGACTCTTCGGGCCAGCTGCTGGCATTTTGCCCATCACGGACATTGCAGTCATCTCTATGCCGTTCAGCAGCTCGAAGGATTGCAGACTCATATACAACCAGACCTACCAGTCGCTTCATATGGCCAAGCTGCTTTGAAGCAAGGGGCAGTTCCTGAGTACGATTGTGCTCTTGGCTCTTCCGAAGATGAAGCTGGCCGCAAGAAGCGCAAAAAAAAGGAGAAAAAAGCCAAAGTCAGTGTGCCCCGGACACGGAAGAAAGAGAGGAAAAAGCCCAGTCGGTCACGCACCCCTGGCAGAGCTCGTTCTCGAACTCCTGGCAGACCTCGTTCTCGAACCCCTGGCAGAGCGAGGGCTGACCGTCCTGCGGAACAGCAGGGCGGATAGCAGAGTTCTCTCTAGGAACACGAGACCAGACGCTTGGTGAGCTGCCCTGTGCCCAAAAAGATGCGACTTGAGCAAGTCAGTTACGTCTCCAGCTTTTGAGCTTGTTTGGGGATCGGAACCACTCCTTCCGGCGAGGCGACATGAAACGCCCTGCTGCTGCTGCTGCTACCTCAAAGCGGAAGCCACGTTCGTCCAAGGTGCCTATCTGGAATGAAAGGATTTGAAAATGGAAAATCATTCCCTCCAGCTGCCTTGCTCTTGACGTTTGATTTCGCTTGTTTTGCAGGGAGCGTGAATGACATCAAAAGTGTTTGTAAGATTCGATTGCCTTGAAGTCTTGAATCCAGGGGTCCTTGGGTCCTTGAGGCTCTTGGTGCATTGATGTTTGTGCTTGATGTGTGTGCTAGGCGTTGAAATGCTCAGCAGATTCGCAGCTTGTAGCAAAGCCTTCGAAGGTTGCGTCAAGCAGTTGCAATGTCCTTCAACAACAGTTTGATCAGGTGGAACGGCAATGGCTCTTCAGTCAAAACATCGAAAGCATATCTAAATATATGTGTTTACAGGTACTCTCTTATTAACTATACTTTATATACGGTTTGATGTTGCTGGAACATTGATTAGATAGATATATCTATAGATAGATAGATAGATTGATAGATAGATTGATAGATAGATAGATAGATAGATGTCATTACAGACTTGGTTGATCATGTCGAAGAAGTCCATGAACGAAAGGCTATCTGAAGTTCACACAGATATGAAGTATTCCGAACTTGGTGATGTGACCTCTTGGAAGTTTTATGTTGTGGAGGTCGTGTTTCAAATTTTTCTGTTTGCCCTTGCCTCTATCATCATGACATGCAGTTTCCCAACGCTGGAGGATAGAATGCCGGCTGTGCCTCTAGAACCTCAGCTACAGCCTGTTGAAGAAAGCCAAGAATGTCGCGATTGCTGCCGCTTGGGCGGTGTGTGTGGTGTGTGCAAGAGCAATGGGTTTGTCACGCCGGACCAGCCTACTGCAGCGTTGAAGTCACCAGCCCCTCTCGAAGAAGACCAAGAACCTGATATGAATGTGTTGACAAAAGCCTTGGACACCCATGGCCCGGAGCAGAAAGCAATGGCAGCGGCTGAGGAAGACCTGGCCCGCGTCCCTTGTCGTGGTAGTTTGAGCAAGAAAGCCCGGAGAGCAGCTCTGTGGCGAAAGTTTGGCAAAAAAACGTCCAGCAAATTGTTGTCCAAGCAATCTTTCGAGAATGCCGTGAAGTCTCTCTTGCCGGAGGGTAAAAAGATTGGTGCTCAGGGCCTTTCTTGTTTGCAACTGGCTGTGGAAGCTGGTATGGCGCAACTCTTTCATGAAGCGAATATGTGCAGTCAGCATTGTGGCCGAAGCACAGTCTGGCCAAAAGACTTTCATTTGGTTCAACAGATTAAGCCTGATGATGTTGTGCTCCGTGGTTGGGTTCCTTACGGTCCACTGAAGCCACCGCGGGTGTCCGCGACTATGGTTGCTGAAGGCGGCCGCTTACTTTTGTCAAAGCAAAGTGCTTTACAAAATGCAGATAATTCTAAGGTCGCCACATGACATGTGTTCCGACATCTTGTGTGATACTATAGGTCATGGATTCTATAAATCTACCATTGCGGTCGATAAGCAGTGGCCACAGTTTTGTTTGCATTCTTCCTTCGGGTGCCTGATGGGAACGCAGGCTTGTGTGACGTGCATGGAGGAGCTTGGATCCTGTGACGATTAGGACCGTTCGGCGTGCTTGCCTGGTATATAAAGAGCCTAATCGTAGCACATTTGAAGTTGAATAATTTGAATCACGATAGATATCCTAGGATGTTGGTCAGACCCCAGAGATGTGACCCCTATCCATTAGGCATATAAATATATGTTCAAACATATATATGCCTTTCAAAATCGCTCTAAATCCCTTTAAATCCCTCTAAATCCTTTAAATCAATCTAAATCCCTCTAAATCATTCTTAACTATTTTAGTCTCTGTGGGCCATTGGGTTTGGCATTGAAACTCCTTGAAATCCATCATGTCAGCTCTTCGTTGGTTTTAAGATTGCTTTGGGGAATCCCTTCTTATGGTTTTGGTCATAACTTGGACCTTTATGGCATTCCGAATCTCGTATCCTCAGGGGGCAAACCCAAAAATTGAAGCTACAAGGGGTCCCCAAAAGAGCATTTTAGAGCCTTTCAGTGGAAGGGGGTAAATTGCAGAATTTGGGGCATGTGACCCCGTGCCCAGGAGGTGCCTAAGGGGTACCTGAATAAGGGATATGGTATGGAGTATCCAAAATGCCAAGATTGGAGGCGCAGAAAAATCACAACAGGAAAAGGAATGGCAAATTGGAGATTTGACACCATTTAAGGTGTATCCAGTGGGCGGGGGTCACATGGAAAGGGTCAGAGTAGCTGAGCATGAATCCAGTATCCAGATGCATAGTACAATGTAGTTCCTAGCACGGATATGACAAGGGTTTCTGTGATGCTAGCTGCAGGTTTACAAGGCTATGAGGAAGTTGTGCGTGATAATTTGGAGTGACTTGGCAGGCCCGTGAGGGCCCGCGGAGCCCGTAAAGCCCGTAGTCAGGGCCCCTAAGAGCCCGTGAAGGCCCAGCCCCGTAGAGCCTGTAGAGCCCGTAGAGCCCGTAGAGCCCGTAGAGCCGGTAGAGCGCGTAGAGCCCGTAGAGGAGCCTGTAGAGCCCGGGCCCGTTAAACCCGGGCCCGTATAGCCCGGACCCGTAGAGCCCGTGGGGCGCGTGGAGCCCGTGGAGCCCGTGGAACCCGTGGAGTCCGTAGAGCCCGTAGAGCCCGTAGAGCCCGTAGAGCCCTGGCCCGTAAAGCCCTGGCCCGTAGAGCCCGTAAAGCCCGGACCCGCAGAGCCCGTGGGGCGCGTAGAGCCCGTGGAGCCCGTAGAACCCGTGGAGTCCGTAGAGCCCGTAGAGTCCGCATAGCCCGTAGAGTCCGTAGAGCCCGCAGAGCCCGTGGAGCCCGTAGGGTCCGGACAGCCCGTGGTACGGGCCCGCGTGGGCAGTTTGTGAGACGAGATGTATGAAGAGATGTATGATGGTGGGTGTAAGAGATGAGGTGTGTAAGATGAGATGTAGCGCTGAAGTTTCTGCAAGGGTAGGATCAGATGAGTATAGAAATGCAGCACTGTGACATGAAATATGTTCTGCATTGCAGTGACCCACCGTGCGCGCCGCAGCTCCAGGAGTTGAGTGAAGCGTTTTGGGTGGGAGTGGAGTGAGCGCGGGATGAGTTGAATGAGATCAGTTAAGTGATTTGAGTGGAGCGAGATGACTTGTGTGGGTTTCGTTGTGTGAAATGAGTTGAGTGAGATGAGTTGTGTGAGGTGAGTTGAGTGAAATGAGTTGAGTGAATTGAGTGGTGTGAGGTGAGTGGAGTGAGATGAGTTGCGTGAGATGACTTGAGTGAGTTGAGTTGTTAAGATGGTTGAACTGTGTGCGCTGACTTGAGTCAGGTGAGTTGAGTGAGATGGGTTGGGTAAGATGAGTTGAATGAGTTGAACTGTGTGTGATGAGTTGGGTGAGAATTGAGTGAGATGAGTTGTGTGAGATGAGTTGTGTGAGCTGAGTTTGTGTGAGATGATTTGTGTGAGATGAGTTGTGTGAGATAAGTTTGTGTGAGATGAGTTGTGTGAGATGAAGTGTGTGAGATGAGTTGAGTCAGATGAGTTGAGTGGGTTGAGGTGTGAGATGATTTGTGTGAGATGAGTTGTGTGAGCTGAGTTTGTGTGAGATGAGTTGTGTGAGATGAGTTGTGTGAGCTGAGTTTGTGTGAGATGATTTGTGTGAGATGAGTTGTGTGAGATGAGTATGTGTGAGATGAGTTGTGTGAGATGAGTTGTGTGAGATGAGTTGAGTGGGTTGAGGTGTGAGATGATTTGTGTGAGATGAGTTGTGTGAGATGAGTTTGTGTGAGGTGAGTTTGTGTGAGATGATTTGTGTGAGATGAGTTGTGTGAGATGAGTTTGTGTGAGATGAGTTGTGTGAGATGAGTTGAGTGGGTTGAGGTGTGTGAGATGAGTTGAGTCAGATGAGTTGAGTGGGTTGAGGTGTGAGATGAGTATGTGTGAGATGAGTTGTGTGAGCTGAGTTTGTGGGAGATGAGTTGTGTGAGATGAGTTAAGTGGGTTGAGGTGTGTGAGATGAGTTGAGTCAGATGAGTTGAGTGGGTTGGGGTGTGAGATGAGTATGTGTGAGATGAGTTGTGTGAAATGAGTTCCTGTGAGCTGAGTTGGTGTGAGATGATTTGTGT